CYYTGWAMTTTACCCTTTTTTAAAATAGCCARTGTTTTCAACCCATTGTTGACTTGGTCGGTTGAACCATTCGAACCGTCACTCGGCTAGGATTTTGGATCTAGTTTTGTTAAAACCCATCAGTCAGTCAAAACTATTGACTTGGTCAAAAACTATTCATTCCTGTTGGTTTAAATTGACCTATTCGACCCGATCACTGGTCGTGGGTTCCACACTAAATGGATGCAAATTTTGGAGGCCATAACTTTGCACTCAGATGTTTGATTGGGGTGACCCTTTTCTTTTTTGTAACTTGCGTGCCTTACTATTTTTGCAAAAAAAAAAAAAACCTTTTTTGGCCTCAAATCACAATTTTTAATATTTTTATAAATAAAAAATTAAAAATTGAATTAAAAAACATAAATTAAATATAAAATAATACATATAACATATAAAAACATAATTATACATTATTTATATACATTATATATATATAGATAGATAGATTATGATGTGGCATGGTCTGACCCATTTGACCTAGACGGTCAAACCAGTGACCTATGACCCAGAGGCCAAAATGGTTCTGCCTTCAGGTCAGTTTTTAAAACATTGAAAATAACAACAGAGTTGTTTTCAAGACATAGAGCACCAATAATACAAGAGTTAGTAGCAAATACATAATGCATAGGGAACCATGTATTTGGGTGTCCATGTGGTAAGACATTATCCACATGCAACCATGACATATAATAGGCCTAAAAGGTTAAAAGCCAAATCATCTCTTTGAAAAAAATCTGAAATTTATAGAGATTTTCAAATTTCAAAACCTCGAATTGTAACAAAGTTGGCCATGAATCACCTAAAAGGCTGCTCTCTCTCTCTCTCTCTCTCTATTTGGAGGAGCACTAGGCTAATAATCTATAGGTTTATCATTAAGTTACAAGTTATGGAAATAACATCACCATTGGACAGATTAAGTTTGTTGAAAAATGTAAAAAAAAAAAAAGGCTGATTGTGGAGATGCATGTGGTGTAGAGTGTAGGCAAGGTGATAAGCCTATATTTGTACATATTTTCATACCTCTTATTTGCATTAATTCTTTTAGTTTTTATTCATTCAATTGATTCACAAATTCAACTTAGGTTAGTTTAAAATTGATTTTGTACTGTGATCTAGTCTTTGTGGGATCGACACTTTTCTCATCATTATACGCACATTTGACTAAGGTACACTTGCCTGAATTAAGTGTACATAAATTACACAACACAAGGTTCAAAATATCAGTTGTGTATTGTATTAGTAAGTTTCAAAATGAATTTGTATTAGGATATGCTTTGGATATGCATGAATATGGTACGCTGATATGGAATATTTGGATACACGAGGTAAATTCTCACAAATACAATAAGGTTGTGTTAGTTTGAAAGAAAGGGTAGGAAAACTTGTACAAACCTTTGTATAGGTTTCCCTATCTTTCCCCACCTTTTCTTGCAAATCAAACACAACCTAATAATATTAAATCTAAGGTCAAAATAACCATGAATGAGACATGACTATAAATACACAAGAAATGCATACTTTAAAAATTTATATAAAGAAAGAAATTACAATTTATATAGCGGGATATGTAGATATTATCCCATTTAATGACAATGCATCAATAAAAAGCTCAAGAGACATGCTAGAAAACATACTAGATTCAAGAGAATATAGATGATCCAAGGTACAAATTATATGCAATTGTTATATTTTAATTAATAAATCAATTATTTTCTATTTTATTATTTTTACTTTTGTATATTGACAAAAAATAAGTCAATTGAATTTAATTTTTAAATATTTGGTAAATAATATATAAATAATACATATTTTGTTATTTATTATAAATTAAAATATTAATTAATAATTTATAAAAATATATAATTTTTGTTTAAAAGTATATCAGACTTATTACAATTTATAAGATACATATCATATGCATATTCATAAACTTGAAATCTAAAAGGAACAAAATTAATGGGTTATATAAAATTAAAAACTAATTAAATGAATAATTAATGAGAAGTCGGATTTGATGGGTTATGCCGAGTTAACAAACATTTAAATTTGAAATTCAAAAAAGACGTTTTTATCGATAGATAGATATATAGATATGATAAATGTGTCCATCCATACCAACCATATAGACTATGCATATGGGCAAAGAACGAACGGTGTTAAATAAATCTCATCATTCATTTTATTTGTGCCATGTGTCAGCCCCTTTGGATATATTCAACATGTTTGGGTTGAGTACTAATTTGAAGAATCTACAACAGTCCGTAAGGACATTTCATATATTTTTCATATTCAAGATTAGCATTTGAATCTAATGCTAAGGGAGGTTTAAGGATTAGAGTAATTATTGTTGGGCAAAAAATTGGAGGAAGTTTACGTACTTATCCCTAAAATTTCTAATAATTTTTTTTTTGTTGATTTGATCATATTGTTTCCCTCACATCCTTAATTGGGTATTTAGGTGGAGGGGAGGTTCTTGAAAAAAATATATTGATAGTTAGGATTTGTGCGATGCATAGACTTTATTTATAAGCAAAATTGAAGATGGAACTCTATAACATTTTCAATCAAATAGTGTCCATTTAAGTTCAATTCAAGCGTTACTTGAATTGGTAAGGTTCCCTGCTAGTCATAGCGGAGACTTGGGATTGAATGCCACTTGCACTTGGATTGGGGGATGGGCTACCCCCTTGTTGTGTCTTCAGAAGATATAAAAAAGAATCAAGTATTATTTTTGAGGTTTTATCTAGTTTATTCAATCACAATCTAAGTTGTTCTTTAATGTGAGAGTGACCAATTTCCTATTCTTTAGATAAATTTGTATTATTTTTTTTTGTATCTTAATGTTAATTTTTTGTTTTTTTTTGAAAAAAAAATTATTGGTTTATTATTATTTTTAGGTAAAATTATAAAAAAATCCTGTTATAACAATCCTATATACTACCTTTGTGTTTTGACCCTAATAAAAACCTCTCCTATAGTTTTGAGAAAAAAAGTACAAATACCTCCTTTCCCTTGGCTTTTTTGTAACAAAGACATTGGAGTTACCAAAATACCCTTATAATTGTTAATGCATTATCATACATAATTTAAAGTTTCAACCTTACCCTTCACTAATTTATTTTATCATACAACTTTCAAAGAGTAATTCCCCTTACTCTTCTTGAACAAAGTAAGGTAAAAAGACTGGAGTGAAGTAAAATTAATCAATTACACCAACATTTTTTATTTGGAATGCTAATGAACGAAAGGTATTTGCACCTTTTTCAAAACAATAGGGGAGGTTTTTGTTAAGGTAAAAACACTAGAGAGTTTCATAGGATTGTTAGAAAACCTAAGGAGGTTTTTATAATTTTCCTTATTTTTAAATGGAAACAATTAAGGAGATTTTAAAACAATTAAACTATATTTAAGATTAATATTTTTATTAATTTTTGAAATTATCAAAAATTGAATTTATTTAAGTTATTAAGTTTTTATTAAATTTAAATTCCTTATGAAATTTAATTAACTATATAAATTTTTATTTTTTAGTGGAACTTAAGTTGGTTTTAAATTAATAAAATTTAATTATAAAACTAATAATTGTTTGACTATTTTGTATCAGTTTTTATTAATTTTAAATTGATTTTAGTTTTTAATTTATCTTATACCTTTTATTAATCAAATTCTTTTTATCATATTAATAAAAATATATTTATCAATAAAAATAATTAATAGTTTATATTATTATTTTTAAATGGAATATAAATGGATTATAATTTTAAATGGAAGTAGATTATTTAGTGCAATAGTATATCATTGAATATCTCAATTTCAATATAATTAATCTTTACTAATAATTACAATTTAATGCAAATATATCATATATATATATAATTATAGTTAAATTGAAATGGATATATATAGATAAAGTTAATGGCATGAGTTATTGAAGGAGAGAGTTAATGGAATAATTAATGAGGAGAGATTATTAAAAGAATTAATGGAAAAGAGGGGGGGGAGAGAGAGAGAGAGAGTATGTGTGTGTGTTAATGAGAAGTGTTAAAAGTCTCGAAGGTGATTGGTCACTTGAGTTGTTTTATTCAATTTTAAAATTAGAAAATTCAAAAAACCAGAAAAAAAGATAAGTGCCTTTGAGAAAAAAACCAGAAAACAAATATAAGTAACTTTGAAAATAAACCACAAGCAGGAAAGTGCCAGGTTGGCACATTCCATTTTAATATATAGATATAGATAGTCTCTTATAGTGAATTGTTTTATTAAGTAATGAGGTTTCAAGTATTAGTATTCATAGCAATTGGGCTAAAAGCCTAAAACTAATAACAAGCTTTGTTTTCTACTACTCTCACTTGACAATAACTTGATCTTGTTTTAACATTAACTTTAGTAGGCAATTTGGCGGTTGAGCTGTAATCACACATTTATGCTAACTCATTAGAAGTCAAGCAAATGGATTTCCATAATCCAACCAATTGAAATTGGCCCAGTAGAAAATTGCGACCCCTGTTGGGGGAAAATTATAGTTACAAAGGAGAGAGAGGAGTTCAAATCATCCTCGTTGTGTATTGGGAACATCTACTGATGATGACATCATCATTTCTGGTATTATCATCCGGAGATGTTCTCAATACACGGCAGGGATGTACTATGGGACGTTGTGGGGAGCAATCTTGTGGGGGCTGATTTGAGAGAGAGAGAGAGAGAGAGAGAGATCGCTTCTCCAAACAAAATTGCCCCCCACGACGGATAGAGTATGTGTTTTAACTTTTGAGTTGATTTTGTTATGGGACTATAGTAGATAAGGGCAACTTATGGCAACATTGCTGGAGGTGGGCGGCGATGGTGCTGGTGGGTGGAAGTGGCGGCATTGGTAGAGGAATGACCACCAATGCCGCCGCCTCTGCCTCCGCCCACCTCAGGCAACATTGCCGGAGGCAGAGGTGGAGGTGGAGGTGGGCGGAGATAGGCCCGGAGGTGGCGATGGGCGGTGCTGATGAATGGATTGTAAGAGGAAGAAGATGAACAGTGTTTTTACCCTTAATTGATAATATTTTTAAAAAGTTAACCTATTTTTAATTTTTTTTTAAAATATTACTTTTATTGATATTAGGGCACTAAAGTTGCCCTTACCTGTTATAATCCCTTTAAATGGGCAACAAATTGAGTGGTGGCCAATTGGTACGTTGGTTGGATAATTCCAGCAGATATGCGAATTTGAATTCCGCTATTACCATTTACCTGTGTGAGTTGTTAAATGTGTTGTGTTAAATACCAACAAAACTCTTAAATGGATATACACACTAATAACACAATAAATCAAGTCAATCAGTTTTATGATAATGCCTTAGAGTTTTATATATTTGGGGTCACATCAAAGTTTACTTGGACTTGGTTGAATGGTAAATGGTAAAATATGGGAAAAAAAACAAGGTTGGGTCTATATTTTTTATTGAAGATTGACATTTAGATCAAATATGAAACCATCCATATGACAATGGAGCACTAGTCTCTCTCTCTCTCAACTATCTTGTGGGTCCATGAGTCCATCACCTAATTCATTCACAGCCTAATGACCTCTGATATATAAACATTTACTAAAATGTGTCTCCTCCACTCTTCCAAAATCTCTTTCTAAAATGTATAAATCCTAAATGTCTAAGAAAGACTAACATATAAACATTTACTGTCATTTTTATTAATCAGAAAATGAAGTTTTAGGCCATTTTTATAGATTTCAATGTCAATATAATTTGGATCTAATCTGTTCAAATTTGTTCAAATTTGTTCAAATTTGTTTTAATTTATTATAAATCCAATCTAATGAATATTTTGGATTGATCCAATTCAATGTCTTGACTGTCTAATCTGTTCAAATTTGTTTTAATTTATTAGATTGGTTCCAAGCCAAACCTGGTCCATTGACACCTATTTTATTATCTTATATCAATGGACCAAATGTTGGCTCAATCCAACCTAATTCAATATAAATTCATTTAGAGATGTACCAGTCCAATCTAATCCAATATATACTTTGGACCATTAATTCTAGATTAATCCAATTCAATATGTCTTGTTGGTCCATCCAATCTATCCAAATTAATTTTACCTAGAGGTGTAAAGTGGGCCATGCGGAACCAGCATGGCACGGCACACGAGCAATCCATACAAAGTGCGTGCCGTGCCGTGCCGCCCTCCCCGGTGAAAAATTTAGGGGTCGCCCTGGCACGACCCACGGCCTAGGCCCGTGCATCGGGGCAAAGCTATTTATTTTAAAAAATTGACAAAAAACTTAAAATTTTAATTTTATATGAATTTTGTGTATACAATTGCTTATATATACAATAATTAAATAAATTAGTATAATAAAATTTAAAAAAATATTTATTTTATTAATATATTATATACTATATTATTATATAATTATAATTTATATAATATTATATAAAAATATATAAAATATATAAATAATATATATGGATCGTGTCGTGCCAGCCCATAAACGTAAAACCCCAGACCCAATACGACCCACATGATTGTGTCGGGCCTGGCATGGCCTGCAGACCGTTGTATCAGGCCGGTCCAAGTTCAAGCCGGGCCACGGGTGGTACAGCCCGACCCGATTTATACCTCTAATTTTACGAGTCCATTGATACCCTATGCAGCACAAGCGGGTCGATATTGGAAATCGATTTACTATCGAGCCGGATAAGGTTCGGGTGGGAGCATGGGAGGATTGGCTTAGACGGAAAACCCATGCCGAACCCGACCCATCGGCATCCCCCTTCAGTGAGGAAGGAATCGCCGTCGGCCGAATTAGATGCAAACCGGGTTTACTTTACTGGAGTTAAGAGTAAGAGTCAAGACTCGAGCGAATGAGCGATTGCATAATTACGCCCAGGGAGGCACGTCGTGAAGAACTTCTTAGCGAAAGAAGATTCGCAAGTCAGCCTTCTTCTGTTCATCGCGATTCGCGAAGTTTCTTTATCTAGCACCATTTTGTTCTTCTTCTACTGTTCTACTTCTTCTGTAGAGAGAGAGAGAGAGAGCAATGGAGAAGGGACAGAAACTCCGATGCCAGCGAATTGGCTGCGAAGCCATGTTTACGGAGGATGATAACCCAGAAGACGCTTGTAGATACCATCCTTCCGTGAGCCTCCTTCTCTTTTATTTTCAAGCAAGATTTTATTTTTCATCCTCAGTATGTCTTATTTGATTTTAATTCTTATCGCTTCCGTCGATCTTGAATGGAATATCAGATAGCCAGATAACTGGTTATCTTTTACTCCATTTTTTGGTTTTTCTTAATCTCCTCCGGTATCTGCAATTTCTATATTTTTCTTTCCGATCGTTCTCTCTAATAAGCAGCACCTGTGCTTCATTCTCTTTGTAGTCCTTCCTTTTATTTTTCCAACTTCAACTATGAGGTAGAAATTGATATTTTCCTATTCAAAGCTATAAAATCAGGGGAAAAAACAACAACTTGCATCTAAGCCTAGAAATGAAAGCTACATGGATGACTTGGTTTATCATGATCTGTAGTAAACATCATAAGATAATCTAGTCGGTAAAACCTTTTTTAATGCTTTGATAAAAAAAAAACCTTTTTTAGGCTTAAGAAGTCAGTATAGATGCAAGGTGTGTGATCTTTTTTGCACTGTTTGTATGGCATTGTGTGGGGAAGGAGAAGTTACATGATGTTTAGACCATAATAATAATGTTCTTGAGGAGATTGATGTTTGGTCAAGCAAGTTCCCTTGATTTTCTGTAGATTAGCACCTCCCCCAAAATTTAGATGAGAATTGCATGGTTATCCTTGATTATTAGTCACTACTAGTTAGTAATTACCAAAAAAGAAGACTTGCCTTCCATTCAAGCAGTCTATGTGTTTTTCTTCCCTCATTACACTTTGCAAAAAAAAAAAGTATGACATGTTAAAAGATCTGCTAGTTTAACTCTTTCTTCGCTTTTCTAGGATTACTTAAAAAAGAAACTTATTAAATTTCCTAAATACAAGCAATTAAACCCCTGCCATATTTCACTTTTTTTTTTAATGTTTTATTTTTGAACAGAAGGGCTTTGAAAGAACTTTAGACACTCTTCTTCTAAACTACAACCGTTATTTCTTTTTTTTTTTTCTTTTCTTTTCAAGAGGAAGAATGAGGAAGCAATCAACCCTTTTGGATCTGTCGTAGTATTTTTGTCAAATTGAACACTCAGGTCAATCTTGAATTTTCCAACAAGATGAGTTTCATTTGCTACAAGCCTACAACATATTCTTTATGTGATCATTGTCTTCTTTCAGCATTCATGTATATAAGTCTAAGTGAGAATTGTTTTGTAGATCTTAAATTATAATAACATTTTCAAATATTATTACTCAGTATAGTCATTCTTTACAAATTCTTTGTTTTATTCTCCTTATGGTTTTCTCCTCTTATTCACTTCCATTTCCTTTTATAAGCACATCCACATTCTGTACTAGAAGCTTTATCAGGCCCTTTGATATGGTTGATTTATTCAATCTTAAGATTTGCAATGTATGTTTAGTAGTAAGGATAATTTTGCATTGTATTTGAACATGAAAAGCTAGGAGCTAAAACTACAGGAATCAATCTTATCAAAACTTTCACTAGTCAGTTGAGGGCAATGTTGATTGCATCACTAACTAGTTTGTCAATACTCATGATGTAGTTGCCTAGGATTTATTTATTTATTTATTGATAGGCAAGAGTAAAAGTTGTATTCTATTTGTTAAAAGAGGGTCTGCCACCCTCAAAAGCATGTACAAAAAGATCTTTACAAGCATACGAAGAAAACCCATTCAAGCAATACATTAAGCTATAAAATATAAAAAAATGATAGATATTTTTTGAAGATAAATAAAAACAGAAAGTACAAGAAGTTGACCAGTAGTCACCGGGGAGAGAGAAGACAACCTACAGTCACCCCCACCGAAATCCAATCCTTATCAATTTTAATGACTAGAACAGTCCAGAATACAGCTCTTCCTCTTTAAATCATACTGAAACAATGACAGGCTCAAATGAGAAAACACTTACAGCACCAACACCATACTTTCCCATCTACCAGTAAACAAGAGCAACTACCCCATCAACTACGAGAAACCAACCTTAAAATGATTCCATCCACACAAAAGAGCTTGGCTCCATTACTTAGCTCTTCCAACTTCTTGAATGGATGCCTCATTGCTTCTCTTGGAGCACTACTTTGGTGTTTGCACCTTTAGAAACCTGAACCATTCAAATATTTTTCTGCTTCTTACAGTGCCTTACACTGTTAGGGAGCGTCTCAAACTCATTAGGTTTGTTAGGACTTGCATTGAAACCAGCATCAATTCAATCTAACTAATTACAACTTCAAGGAGGCAGCCTTGGCTTAAAAAACACGGCTGTTCCTTTGCAGACTGCAATGGAGTAGGATGTGATTGATAGGTTCCTGCTCTGCATTGCACAGGCTACAGACATCCATAATCATATCCCGCTCACCAAGTGATCAATAGTCAGTAAATGGTCTCGAGCTGCAGTCCAGAGGAAAAATGCTACCATTTCCCACGTTCCACCTTTAGATAAATTGCTTCTTTTCTTCTGGAGACTTATCTTCAAACCTGATACTGCTTCACAAAAAATCAGTAGGCAATGCAGGAAAAGGAGATCGCGGTGAGTGGCCCTTGAGAAAATGATAGCATCGTCTGCAAACTGGAGCAAAGAGATAGCTGGTGTTGTGGGTCCAGCTTTAAACCCTTCCATGTGCCCTCCCTTAACTGCCTTCTGAATAATCCTTCCAAGTGGTTCCATGACCAAAATAAAGAGGAAAGGAGAAGGGGGTCTCCTTGCCTCAACCTCTTCTTCCCTAGAAAGTAATCTCTTGGAGAGACATTGATGATGACAGAGTACATGGGAGAAGAAATGCAAGCATCCATCCACTTCCTCCACAAGATACTGAAGTCTATATGCCTTAGAATGTAATCCATAAACTCCCATCTAACATGATCATATGCTTTCATGAAAGCAACTTTGTAAACCACACCTGGAATACCTTGGCTGATTCTTGAATCAATACATTCATTAGTGATGAGTGGGCCAATGCTACATGTTTATTTATGTTCATCTTTCAGTTTTAAAATAATGTTATATATGTCTATATTGTTATGCACGCCAATTGCTTCGACCATCTCTGATTAGATGTGGTTCGGCTAGGATATATAAAATTGAAAAAAGGCCTAAAATAAAATAGGACTAGTGGAGTTCTTTTTTCTTCCAATTGGTAGTATCCTGGTATGGAGTTGCTATGAGCTAAGGTATTACATCCAATGGTGAAGCTCTTATGTGTTACATCCAAAAACAAAATACTAGCACTCCTTAGTGTATCCAACCTTCTCTTTTATGTTTGCAAAATAGAGGCTATATACTAAATGTTCTTCATCATATATTTTAGTTCATACTTGTAGTCTTTATTTATTGACTTACATATGAGATTGCAACATTATATTAAATTTAGGCATACCTTTTTGTGGTTGACTAATCCTAGGCACCAAAAGTGGAATGCCTAGTTGCCTAGGCAATAGAATTTTACAAGGAAAAAAAACAAATCAATATGTGCATAATTTGGAAAAATAGCAATACACTTTCCTAATAATATTAATTTTCCTTTCAAAATATGATAAATCATTATGTCAAAAAGGCAACTACATTTATTAATTTCAAGAACACTACAATATAATAAGCATTTAATAAAGCAATTACATGTTACAAACATAGTTTTCAAGGTGCCAAGGTGAGGCTAGGCGACAGGGGGGGCACCTTGTCGCCTAGTCGCCTAGGTGATGGATTTTTTTAAGTAAAAATCACATATCCTAGGGTAGTTCCTTAGGTTCCATAACCAACTTTCTTTAATAACTATCCATAATTTTCATAAGAAAATTATAAACTTCATGTTTAAGTCTAGAAAATCAACATATTTATGAGAAGAAAAAGAAGAAAGGAAAGAAAATTCAAAAAATATAGGGGCTGAACCCCTATTTTTATTATAGGAAAAGAAGAAAAGGTAAGAAGAACCCCTGTTCTGTTTGATTGAGTAACTGTAGAAAAAAAAAGAAGAAACCTTTTTATCCTTTTTCTTTTTCTCTTCTCAAAACCCTGGGGTTTTTTATGTTTCAATAGTAAAATCCTAAAATAAAGCATAGTTTTATATATAATATATGATATGATGTATCGAGGCATGCTAATAAGATGTAGCCATAGTAATTATATTACAATAATGTGCCCACCTTGTGTTTTTGTTGCTTATGTTGGTGTCTTATTGCCAAGCTGGGTGTCTAGTCACCTAGACAGGTGCCTTTTTTGGTAGAAGCCATTGCCTGCAGGTTGGGTGCCATGCCAAGGCGGCTTGTTGCCTAGGTGCCTTGACAACTATGGCACCAACTAGTTGCCACCTCACCTAAGGTGGAAAAACAAATAGGCATCTTACAACATTGACAATACTGATGGAATTGAGCAATTAGGTGGAGTGACTAGTCTACCTGAAACAGTCCCTCATCTTTAGTTTTGATAAGTGAATGTCAATGCAACTTCAGTAAATATTTTAACAGATATTTCGAGAATGTTATGATCACTTGTTGAAGACAAGTATTTTAACCCCTGAAGGAAAAAAAAAAAACCCTATCCCTCTGTAGCATGAATTGCATGCCATTTTAACTTGAAGTTTTTCTTTTAGCAGCCACATCCTTTCTTGGTGTTTTGCTTAAGCAGCGTGTACTGATTGTTGAACATTTGCCCTTAGTGGTGTGAAAGATCTTATTTGAAAGTATCACAACATCAAAAAAAGTGCGTGTGTGTGTGTGGGATGACAGATACCTTAGCCAAACAAAGGGTTAATAGGGTTCAATTGTTTTGGGTTCACTTGTATAGCAATCTCCTTACCATATCTGGGTAACATGGGATATCATGGCTCCATCTGTCCTATTGAAAGAACTCTTTCCCTCCCCCCCTAAGAGAACATTCAACTTTCTTGGACTTACATCTTCTCATTCCTGTACTGATGAAGCAACAAGCATTAAGGAAAAATTGTTTCTCTATTTGCAGTTGTTTGAAGGTCCAATAGTTTTCATTTCAATATATTCAGAAACCA